TGAACCTATCATGAGGTTTTCTTGGCAAGATTTGTTCAAAGGAGGTTTCCCATTGCCTTCCGCTGAGGCTGAGAGCATGTGACTTGTCAAAGGTCACCTAGTGAGTTTCATGGCTGAGCTTGGAATCGAACCCTGGTCTTCCAGAGCTGCAGTCCAATGTTCAAACCACAACGCCACACAAGGTCAATCCTCTAAATAAACTTTCCCCAGAAAACTCTAGGAGGGGGTCATCAAAAGTTGGAGCAGACTTGAAGGCACAGAACAATAAAGTTTCTTATATGAGGTTTGGTTTGTAATTTGAGGCCTGAGAAGTTTGAGTCTGAAGCTTCCTTGTAGTTTGAAGCCTAGCAGTTTGTACAGAGGGGCCTGATAGTTTGTAATATGTAAGGAGCCAAGTAGTGGTGTGAGTGTTTGATCAGGACTTAGGGTTGTCAGACTGAAAATCAAAGATGGTTCTTTAGTGCTTGTGTACAAGAGGGAATTTCAACAGCTCTCACTTGTCAGTCAACCAAGTAACAAGCAAAACCTCCTGAAACTCCTTCTACCTACCTATTGTTTTCAATCTGGCATCCCTATTAGGATTCTGCATATTGTTACCAGTGTGAAAACTGGAGAAGCTATTGCTGCTGTTGTGTGCCTTCAAGTCATTTCCAACTTATGACAACCCTAAGGTGAACCTATCATGGGGTTTTCTTGGCAAGTTTCTTCAGAGGAGGTTTGCCATGGCCTTCCTCTGAGGCTGAGAGAATGCAGTTTGCCAAAGATCACCCAGTGAATTTCATGGCCAACCAGGGAATTGAACCCTGGTCTCCAGAGTTATAGTCCAACATTCAAACCACTACGCCAGGCTGGCTCTTTCTATATTATTACCAGAGTGAAATCTATTACCAGAGAAGCTTCTTTAAAAAAAAAAAAAGCTTTATTGTAACTAACAACCAAGTTAAAACTTACACCTTACAATGATCATGCAATAGTCATACAATTACACAATTCAAGAATCATAAAAAACATTTTCCCTAAAAACGTACTTAAAAACACACACACCTCATTCGTCTTCCTTCTCATCCTACTTTCCCTGATCTTCTTTATCTCTCTTCCCTTGTCTTTCTAACTCTTCTCCTCTCCCTCTGTCATCCTTCTCCTCCCTCATCACCTCCTTCACTCTCTATTCCGAAATCTGGAGAAGCTTCTTAATATTTTTAATGGCTATGTAGATGCAGGAATTTCTTTTTTTAAAATTAACTTTATTAGTATATAGCAGGAATTTCAATAGATGTTGCTTGTTAACTGGTTGTGTGACAAGTGACACGTGCTGAAATTGCCTCTTCTACATAATAATTAAAAATACAGAAGCTGTCTCCAGTTTTCAATCCGACAATCCTAATTTAGAGAGTTGTTGTGTTCCTCCAAGTCATATCATGGGGTTTTCTTGGCAGGTTTATTCAGAGGGGTTTTTCCCTTGCCATCCTCTGGGGCTGACTTGCCCAAGGTCACCCAGTGGATTTACATGGCTGAGCTGGAATTCGAACCCTGGTCTCCAGAGTCGCAGTCCAATCCTCAAATCACTACACCACATGGCATGCTACAAATCCCCACTCAATCTATAGAAATCCACCAGAGCAAGTCACTTTCTCAGCTTCAGAGGAAGGCAGTGGCAAACCTCCTCTGGATAAATCTTGCCAAAAACAAAAACAAAACTAAGCATAGGGCACAGAGTTGACTTGAAGGCAAATAACAACAACAACAACAACAACAGGAGTTAAAGTCCAGAACATCTAGAAGGTATCAAGATCTCTATCCCCCAGTTTAAAGTATGGGGCTAGCCTTTATGGTAAACAAATGGCACAAAACATGGGGGGAAATCTGGTCAAAAATGTCTTAAAATATAATGTATGAAGTAATTAAGGGCCCAACTCTCTAGATGTTAGACTTCAGCTCCCAGCATTCCAGCTAGCCAGGGTTATGGGAACCTGCAGTCTAACAACATCTAGAGAGCACTTGAATCCCATCTTTGGTCTCAATCCATTAGAGTAGACCAAATGAATCAAATAGGAATTTGAATCAATGGGAATTTGATGAGACAACACTTATGTAAGTGTTATGATTCAGTGGGCTTATATGGCTGTAGTGTTTTAAAGGAATAAAATAATAGTGGGCATCCAGTTGGTGTTTTATGCACACACAAATTCCCTTACACACGTGGTTGTACACAGTATTGTTTTGGTCATGGCATAACATCAGTATTCAGTTCAGTGTTGCTTAAGCAGATACCATAAGAATACATACATATTCTTCTTTAGTTCCATCTGTGTTCAACTTGATTCATTGGGATTGTATAAACACAAGGTTCATTTACAGATACCCAATTGGTTGCACAGTGTTGGTAGTCAGCAGAAGGGTGCTATAGCACAGCTGCCACTTAAATTAAATAGCTTTACAGTTTGCAAGCATTATGTAGGATCTCAGCTATTTTTAAAAATTCTGCTGCCTGAGGGACATAATTTCAGTTCATTAAAAATGTCCCTCTTTCTTACTGACTAACCAATTAATTTGCATGGATCCCAATCTCAGGAGAAAGTTGGAGCATAAATTCAATCAATCAATCAAAAATTTGACCAGTTGAATTTTGCAACCCTATGTAAAGCGTGAGGTCTCTTCCACACTACAATTATATAAAGTCTAATCCCTCTTTACCTGTCATAGCTTCATCCTATGGAATCCTGGGATTTGTAATTTTGTGAGATTATGTAGAATTTTCTGCCAGAGAGCTTTAATGCCTCACCAAACTGTTGATGTCAGGATTCAATAGGCTGCAGCTGTGGCAGTTTGATTGTCATCAAAGTGCTATAAATGTGTACTGTGAAAGAGACCTGTGATCCTTGAAATTTCATTTCTCCTCTATGCCCTTCTCTGTTTTTTCTCTCTGTTTCAGATGTTGACGGGTTGAAAAGGGAGAGTGAGGGGAAACCATGTGTGATATTATCTGAAAAAGTTGAGTGTGAAGCACCAAAGGAGAACTTGTGGGATCTGGATGCATCAAGAAAGCAAGAAGGAGAGCATACAAAGGAGAGAAGGGATGCACTCATTCCTCATCTCACTGGGGATTCCCTTGAAAATCAAGTACAAAAAGAACTTGAGATTAACACAAGGGAAAGACTGTATACATGTCCGGTGTGTGGAAAAGGATTCAACCACAGCAAAAGCCTTACTTCACACCAAAGAATCCACACAGGAGAGAAACCATACAGTTGCTCTGATTGTGGAAAGGGCTTCTATGATCAGTCTAGCCTTACTAAACACAAGAGGATACACACAGAGGAGAAACCATATCAGTGTTCTGTGTGTGAAAAGAGCTTTAGACAGAAGATCCACCTGATAACACATCAAAGAATTCACACAGGAGAGACACCATATAAATGCTTGGAGTGTGGCAAGACTTTGATTCATGCCACAAGCCTTGTTTCACATCAAAGAATTCACACAGGAGAGAAACCATATCAGTGCTCTGTGTGTGGAAAAAGCTTCAGTTACAAGGCAAGCCTTTGTTCCCATCAAAGCATTCACACGAGAGAGAAGCTATACAAATGCTCGGACTGTAACAAGTGTTATTTAATTCAGTCAAGTCTTATTAAGCATAAGAGAATTCACAGAGGAGAGAAACCATATAAATGTTTGGAGTGTGGAAAGACCTTCAACCACAACACAAGTCTGACTTCCCACCAAAGAATCCACACTGGGGAGAAACCATATAAATGCTCAGTCTGTGGAAAGAGCTTCACTTACAGGGCAAGCCTTTGTGCACACCAACAAATTCACACAGGAGAGAGGCCATACCAATGCGCAAACTGCAACAAGAATTTTAGTGATAAATCAAGCCTTAGTAAACATGAAATAATTCATACTAAAGGGAGGTCCCATAAGTGTCTGGAATGTGGAAAGAGCTTCAGTGTGATCACAAGCCTTGTTTCACACCAAAGAATCCACACGGGAGAAAAACCTTATAAGTGCTCAGAATGTGGAAAGGGCTACAATTACAAGACAAGCCTTTATGCACACCAAAGAATTCACACAGGCAACAGGCCGTATGAATGCTCAGAGTGCAGCAAAACTTTTGTTGATAAATCAAGCCTTACTAAACATGAGAAAACACACACAAGAGGGAGATCGCAATGCTTGGAGTGTGGAGAGAGCTTTGATCTGACCTCATCCCAAAGAATCAACATAGAAGAAGAAATTCATTTATGAACTTTCAAATGTGCTTAGCTTAGCAGATGGCTCCTGCTTTGACTGGGTTTCTAGCCTATACAAACTGCCAGAAATAATCCATCTTGAGGCCACTTTAACTGTCCTGGTTCAGTGCTATGGAATCATGGGAACTCTAGTTTATTGTGGCACCAGAACTCTCTGACATAGAAGGTTCAATGTCTCAGAAAAAAACTACAATTCCTGTGATTCCCTAGCATTGAGCCAGGACAGTTAAAGTGGTCTCAAGATGGATTATTTCTGTTCAAGCCCTTGCGAGGTAATCCCATGAAGCAGAGCCTTTTTAGTGGTTACCCCTTCTCTCTGGAGAAATGGTTGATTTTAATGGTTTTAGCTGGGCATTTTTCTGATTGAAATAGAGATGGTAAAAATTAAGTATATAAAATACATAAGAAAACTCCATATTTGTTAGGAGTGTGGAATGCTTGCTTCTGAAAGCACTTACCAAAAACAATAATCTGAAGTCATATGAAAATAATCTATATGGAAAAAAATTTAAATTCCTTTCCTACTAATAGAGTAATCATGCTCATATAGATTAATATATCAACAGGGGGTGGAATCAATATTGTCTTGCATGACTTCAGATTAGTGTTTTAGATATTCAGTGGGGGATGAATTGTGCAGCCCTCCAAATGTTGGATTATAAAGCCCAGCAGACCTAGTCACCATAGTCAATGCTGAGGCATCCTGGTAGCTGCAGTTCAACAATATCTGTAGGATTGCTCAGTTTCCATCCTTGCATTAGGACATTTTCTCATCAGAAGGGCTCCCTAAATACCCAGACTGGTGGGTACTTTTACGATTATGAGATTTATATATCAAGGCAGGCATACAAGGAATGACTGCAGAAACCTAAATGCACGTAGGAGAAAGAGCGAGAGACTGGAGACAAATTTTGGAAGACATCTCTTGTTTCTCCATCTTTTGGTTGAAATATAAACTGGGAGTATAGCTGTAGCTGCTTTGATGGTTAGTATGTTTAACAGGTTGTAGAACAAATCAAAATACCGTTGAATATTAAAGTCAGGATTGTCCATATCAAACAGGCATGGCTTATTGGGATATAATATTTTGTAATTTATATATGAAGCAGAGCAGCATCATGCCCCAGTATAACTAAGATTTTGGTAATAAACAGGATACTCTACTAGGGTAAAAATAAGACTTACTTTATTGTTACAAAGAATCCATCTAACATCCAGGAAAACAGACACTATGTCTGTACTTGGGCACAAGAGTCTCTAAAAGCTGACTCTCATGAATGAATCTAAGATCGGGAAGGTGGACCACAAGTTGAACATGAGTCAACAGTGCGATGCAGCAGC